TTTCTGGTCCCCACCTGTCATTTTGCTCCTCAGCATGGCTGTCTAAAAATGCTGCAGGATTTCTCAAATGCATGAATGAGTCAAAGCAAGGCTTTGGGCATGTTTTTATGAGAATATAACATTATAACATGATACAAAACTCAAAAAAGTTGATTTTACATGACATTGCCCATTTAAAATGTCATAAATCAACCTTTCAGAGGTCTTAAAATGGTAACATATTGTAAGTAGGATAATTGTAATTAGTCTCAAATATGAAAATAATTGATAACATTAATTTGTTTAAAAGAACTTACTGAATGCCACTGGCAGCTAGTTGTCTTAGCGTGAAATTGTTGCCAGCTGGATTTTTTATCCATTTGTGTTCATCGTGAAATTGGTCTTTAATTTCATTTCAAGTGACATTAAAAAATGTCTTGAAGTCTTAAATTTAATTTGTCTTAAGCTGTAGGAACCCTTTTTATGACCCACTATCCTGCATGTTTTAGTTGTTTCCCTGCTCTTCACTTCAGCAAGTCTTTAAGTTTTGCAGAAGCCTGTCAATCACTCATTTATTTAAATCAGGTGAGTCAAAGCAGGAAAACGACTACAACATGCAGGATAGTGGGCCATGAGGACTGGAATTGAGAAACACTGCTTTAGAGAATCAATATAGTAACGAGAAGTGAAATATTGCAACATTTCAGTGTATCGATATTTTCTTACACCCCTTAGTAAGCATGCAGTCTGATTAAATGTGGTGTTCACCTTGGAGTACAGAAATCTGTTGGTTGGAAAGTGAAAAAAGGCAACAAAACTTGATCTGTCGTCACTAGTAGACTGTACAAGAGTGAGTACATTGTATACACGAGAAGAAAGCCAACTTGTGTGACACAAAAACAAGTGAAAGGTAGAAAAAACATTTCTTTGACAAAAGTGCAGTTTCAGTGTTGTGCAACATAAATAACAATCCTATTTTCAAAGCTTTAATCTTATTGTCCTGCTTTATTTTCTTTTTTTTTAATCCTTTAAAAAATATTTTATGCACAAGTTCATACAAAGACTGCACAGGATAACTTTGTTGGACAGATCTGAGTCACATGCTTGACTCTACTTCTGTGGTCAAATGAAAGAGGACTGTTGGCAGTAACAACAGAAGAGACTCTCTAGAGTAAAAGGCCTGAAAAGGTGTGGCATGTAAGAGAAGATCCCCAGAGACAGACTGACGTCAGTGGAACACCGCTACCAGCAGAAACGTATCATAGGGAAGCACAGAGGTAGTTGTCAGGACTGCCTAATACATGCAGCAGTAAGGTCAAAGTACATGTTTGCTTTTAAGATAAACTTGTGAATGGTTTTACATTTTGACACCTCATGTGCGCTGTCTGTCTTTAGTTTACGTAGGTCTTTTTCATCGTTTTCTACATTATTATTCTAAGTTTTGTGTTTTTTTTTTCTTCTTTTTGTCTCCTGTAATCAGTCAGCAATAGAAAGGCTCCTCCAGTCCCACCTCGCATCACCTCCAAGCCCATCATCTCAGTGACGTTGCAGAGCAGCACAGAATCTGCTCAAGACACTTATCTCGACCAGCAGGACCGAGGCAGCGAGGCGAACAGCCAATCAGGACGCAGCAACTCCTCCGACAGTCTCTGTAGCATCCGCACGAGCAGCTTGGCCAAGGGGATCCAGTCTCTAATAGGCCCTGCTGCAACCATTGCACCTGCTGCAGGCTCTGGGCCCCCTGTTCCAGCTCCTCGTGACCTCCCTTCTACCACCACTGTTGCTGCCACCTCTACCACCAATACCACCACTTCCACATCGACCCAATCCCAACATGACACCGTGAACATTAGCATCGTCCTAGAACAGCCCCCAACTGCACCCAAGAGGAAGCTGTCTTCTATAGGAGTTCAGGTACACTTTGTGCAATATTTATTTTGACACATGATGATCTGGGGAGAGCAGTGGAATGACCTTGTTGTGTTTGTAACACTGTAGGTGGATTGTCTTGTTCCAGTCCCAAGGGAAGAGCCATTACTTCTGTTTACGCCTCTAAAGTTTCAGTCAATTGGAGTTCAAGTTGAGAACGGCAGGCCGTAAGTACAGCTGTCTTGTATTTGATTAACAAAATCTGAGTTTCAAAGTAAAAGTGAAGGTCAAAAAAACCATTCTGCTTTAAGCAGGTTTGTTTCCAGGCTGGTGACATCATATAGTAGTAAACATAACACCAATCATATTACAGAAACCTTAGAAAGGGTTCTGACACCAACTGCTTCATTTTTAACAACTTAATGTTTGATTTATGCTGGGAGACTTCCGTGTGTGAATATGTGGTTTGTAATATTGACTTTTTTTATTATTATTTTTTTCTGCATGTTTGTTCCTTTTCCTCTGTAACATTACACTCCTACTGTTGTTGAATTTGTAACAGCGATCGTCTCTAAGGTCATTTGCCAGTAAGCCTAGGAGCAAAACAGTACTTTGATTGATAGGATGTTATTCTTGTTTTGACTTTAGTTACATGAAACTAGTGAGAAGCTGTCCATTTAAATGAGTACAGTGCTCTGTAATTTTCCTTGCAATCACATTTGTTTGACAATGTGCTGCTTCTGCTTATGAAGTTAGAAACCAGCAGTTTGTTTAACTTTTACCATCCTTGTTGCTTATTTCTCTATGTCATCTTCTATGTCGTGCTTTTTGTTGCATGAGTAATTATGCTTTGTCACTATCCTTTCAAGTAAACTCTCAAACCTCACATTGTTATTCTGGAAATATCTGAGTATTCAACTCTCTCTGAAGCTGATATTCATGCATGTCTCTGCAGTCTCAGCCGGGACAGCAGCATGGCCTCCAGACAAAACACAGAAACTGAACCTCAGTTGCAAGATGCCACACCCACAGAAAACACAACCAACTGCACCAACAGTCTGCCTGTGAATGCCACTGCAACCAACGGACAGGACAAAGCCATGGAACAGCAACTCCTTAAACACACATCAGCCCCATCGAGGATATCCAACTCGTCTGCAGAGACGCTGGATCCAGCTTTAGATCCCTCCTCTCTACCACCACCAGATCCCAGCTTAGAGTGTGGAAACTGCAGCATGCAGGGCGATGCTGTTCACTCCAGCACGCCAGCATGCCTCAGAGATGGCAACTGGTTTCTGAAGCTGCTGCAGGCTGAAACGGGCCGTATGGAGGGCTGGTGTCAGCAGATGGAGCAGGAAACCAAAGACAACAAGCTCTCAGAGGAGGGTAAGCATTCACATTAATGCACATCGGTGTTTACCAAACCTCTGATTAGGAAAATATCTAAGTAGTAAACAGTTTAAGGATCAGACTGACTTTACAGCAGCTGTCCATGTTTCATCTCAAAGTACATGTTTACAAACTCTTTTTTTTTTTTTTTTTCAGTGAGCTGGAGGACAGTTTTTATTATTTAAGCCATAACAGGACGTAACATAAAGTAATAGTAGATGAGATGGATAATAGGTTTTGGTAAATTGCTCATTAGGGCAGTGCCTGAAGAATGAATGAGCTTGTAATGGGAGTTTAGAGACGGGGGACTAGGCCATGTCTCATTCCTGTTTGGTTTGGATGATGAGACAAAGCTTGACATGCCCTTCACTGCGATTGACTCAACTACCGCAGATCATTAAAGTGGAAGTAAGCTTTGTTTTAGTGGTAATAGAGCCATGATGGAATCAATTTTTCATCCTCCAGAATCCCAGTCAGGCTCTTGGGCAGATCATTCTTCACCGTCTCTAAAATATAAATGAGAAAGAATGTGACTTCCATTGATTCTTGCTGTTTTCAAAGGCTTTAATAATATATTTCTGTTTACATGCAAATGTCGAATATAAAGTTGAATAAATGGTCAAGATGGAGTTAGGGAAGAACACGTAGAGAAATCATTTAAATTGTCAGTTTTAAAACAAATACTCATCAAAAGACCAATACAGTCTACATAGACCCCTTATTGTAAGTGTATCAGTTCTACCGTTCATGATTACATTTGTTTTTGTAGTGTTGGGGACAATCCGCAGTGCAGTCGGCAGTGCTCAGCTCCTCATATCACAGAAGTTTGAGCAGTTCAGAGGGCTCTGCAATGAGAATCTGGTGAGTTTTTAAACAAGAAGCAGATTTGATTGTATAACTTAAAAAATAATCTTACAGAAGCATGAAATCCTCATGTGCATATTTGCACTTAAACTTTCAATAAAAGATTGTCATGTATTTTCTTCTCTTTCATTAATGTGAAGACATTTTTTCGTTCATAATCAATTTGGTGTTTGTCTCTTTAATCAGAACATCAGTGCCAACCCAAGACCAACAGCACAGGACCTGGCAGGCTTCTGGGATCTGCTCCAACTTTCAATAGAAGATATAAGCATGAAGTTTGATGAGCTCTACCAACTGAAAGCCAACAACTGGCAGCTTCCTGAGAAGACTGAGAAAAAGGTGAGACTTGCCTGCAGATGTTTCTTCAGTGAAATTCCAATAAGTTAAAACATTTAGTTGTTTTACATTGTAAAACACTATTTTATAGGATTTAAAATAAACTTTGTGTTCAATGGATGGATAAAATTTGTAATTTTCATGTGTTTTTAAAGACGAATGTAGAAGTTGAGAGTGAATTCCAGGCTCTTAAGCTACCATCAGCATCACTTGACTCTCATTTTACACCAAGCTTGTGTTGCTGACTCCTGTCCTCTTGACATAATTTCCTCAGGATGAAAACAAACAGCTTCCATCATCGGCGCCAAAGAAACAGTCAAAGCCCCGGCTGTCAACAGGGAAGGACAGGAGCGTGGACTCTGCCGTGGACAAGCAGCGGCAAGAAGCCAGAAAACGGTTGATGGCGGCAAAGAAGGCAGCGTCAGTACGACAGAACTCTGCCACGGAAAGTGCTGACAGTATCGAGATCTATGTCCCTGAGGCCCAGACCCGCCTCTGAGACTGAGCCAGCAGCAAACGTCACGCAGAAATCACGACTCGCTCCAGATATTTGTCGACACAAATGCACAGTTCTGAGACGAACACACATCATCAAACGTACAGTGGATGCACAGAGGTCGAGCTCTTTTAGCACAGCTGATTGCAGAGACGTGACGATCACAGGGCACTGTAATAATCCAGTTTGTCAATCAGCTGCTGTGGGACAGATAAATCTTTACAGATGTTTATTACTATTGTTATTGTTATTATTGTTCATATTGTTATAATTATCTCAAAGTATTTCAGGACTGTCTTTAATTGTGCAAGTCTCTTGGATTAGGAAGTAATGTACCTTGTGAGCTGAAGAATCTTGGTATCCCAGAAGTTTACTCTCTCAATTCCTTTCACTGCGAAGTCTGCCGGCAAATAGTGGCTGTGCAGTTTGAGCGGAGCTACCATCCACACACACTCAGGACACACACGCAGGTGTACTCACTGTCCAGAGTCTTCCTGTTCTCTCTCTCGGCATTTGGCTGTCGCTCACGTGTGGCGTGAGCGCGTTACTGTGTAATTTATGCGATGGAGTTAAAGTACTCGGAGGTTTGAAATGAAGAGAACCAGAGGAAGGCAGTAGCATATATTAATATCACACTATTATAATGTTCATTTTGTAAATGTTGTATACCAGATTTATTGTTAGAAAGAGGTCAGTGTTCAGCACCAAGGTAGTTTTTTATAAATCAAATACATTTACTGTCATTTATTAGCACTTGATGCAAAATATTCACTCCATCTATTTGATCTTTCACTCCTTCACCAACATTCTCCACACACTCTGTGAATCCCCTGTTAAAGTCTTAAATAGTTTTTTTAATTCGTATATTTTTGAGAGGTGAGATAAAAGAAATGACTGCCTAGCCAGTGAGCTATAATGGAATGTAAGAATTGCCTGCATTTACAGCTCATAATGACTTGATCGCTGCACTTTCAGTTCACATCAGATCAAGTTTGCCCATTTTTGATTTTATTTTTTTAATTCTTTATCATTCTGATTTTCACTGCATCCTCGTGATGCAGAGGACCAAGACATTCACTACTTTAATAAGGCATTCCCATTCAACCAGTGTGTGTAAGGGTTTGTTTGCTCCTGGAAAACAACAGCAAAGCAATAATTTGATTCAGTTTCAATCATGTAATCAATATCTGCAGTAGGAATTTTCTGACATGAAGTATGAATGTTATTTTGCTATGAACATTGCTCTTGATCTGAAAAACAAACAAAAATCTCAGGTTGAAGACTCAATCCTAAAAACCACTGAGTGGAAGATTTGTTGTATAAGCTTAAGAATTGGCCATATGCTCAGAACCTCTGCATAGTGCTCCATGTTTCTCCAGATCTGCTCAGTGTTCCTCCAGGACAAGTTTTATTTTTTTAAGATGTGCACTAATGTACATTTTTCACCTGACGGCTGAAATCATTTGTCTTTTTGGCTGTTTTTGCTTGCGGCAAATTCCCCACCTACTTTTCTTTCTACCAAAAACTGATACTTTTAGTTGTATTTTCACACATTTTGTGACAACTTTTTATGGAAGACAGCCTAAATAGGCCTAGTATTCCTTAAAGGAATGCACACCACTCATCACCTTTTATGAGTTTTAAACTAAAATCATGTCGAGATGATGGGGTTGTAGCAGTTTTGGTCAAACATTGAAATGAACGTGCAATGTCATCGAAAATCGCAACGTCACGCCAAGAGTGTGTGTTGCAAATGACTCCGCTGCTACTACATCATGTTTTTGTACGATATTTGTAAAATTGACTGAAGTGTAGCCATTTTTGATTTCTCATGTCAGTTGGCTGTGGTAGCCATCTTGAATTGGGTTGGCTCTTAAAGTTAATCAGTTGTAGATAGATTCTGTGAGCTTCGTTAAAATCCGTCCAGTAGTTCATGAGATGTTTTGCTAACGGACATGGCAAGAACAATATTTCCTTTGGCAGTGGGCAATAATTATATTTAATGCAAAGGACTTTGTTTTGTCCCAAGATGGCATCAATCACTATTTTGATTTTATTTAAAAATAATAATTTAAATGTTATTAAATCTTTTATAAATTCAACTACTTGTCCTTTTTTCTCTCTCTCTCTCAATCTCTATCTCTCTCTCCTCTCCTGAAAACGGTTACTTCAGACCATTTCGTACTTTTTCTTCCTTGTTTGAAACTCTTCCTCTGTGGAACTGGACCACTTTCAGTGTCCATTTTTTCTCACGGTTTAAAGAGTTCATGAAGACATCATTCACATCAGTTTTCTTTTTGCTTTCTAAAAGCTGCTTCTCCCCCTAGTGGTCGGTCCAGGTGCGCCTCTCATCACATGTTCAGCACCATTTTGAATCAGGTTATTAATGGAGAAATGTAGTTGAACTGGGAATGCTGACACAACACTGCGTTGTTGCTTTTCTTCTCTTTGTAAAACATTCAAACTGGACATGTGCACCTCATTGTCCAAAGAAATCATTAAACATCCCTTTGCTACATGTCCTGGTCATCATTCCTGCTCTTTATTTTTTAATTGCACTCATTCATAACACAATGGTAATATTAGCTGCTGAGTTAATATTACATTTAATTGAAATAGATCTTTAGTGTTACAATATGATCTTTCAAAAGTATAGGCTTATTTGATAAAAAAAATACAAAGTTTCATTTCCTTTTTAAACGGGTTTTGCAAATGATTTGAAACCATTGAACTTGTGTGTGGCATTAACTTTGACGAATGGAAAGTTGTTCACTTCTTTTTTTTTTTTTTTAATTCATATCAGAGCCGGATCCCTTTATCTGCCTGTGAACAGAAAGACCTGATCAGGGATCTTTAGACAGTTTACCAGTACTTCCTGAGTTTTAAAGGGCTACAAAATGGACAAACGTTGACCAGAAGGTACAACTCTGGAGGTGCAATACGTTGACGAGCTTTTCAACCACCATGTGGACGAGGCAATATTTTCCGGCTAAATGGGACAGTTGTATTCAAAAAAAATTTTCTAAGTTTGCCTTTGTTCATTGTGGATGCTTAATGGACAAAAATGCAAAGAATCATAACCTCTTCATCTCCCGCTGGGGCTTAACTGTCCCCTCAGAAATCCAGCTCGTAAAATAAGCAAAAACCTTGACATTTGGGATTATGTTGTAATGAGATATTTTACAGAAGAAGCACATATCTTACATACGAAGGGTTTGTTTATTGTTCTAATGTATTAGTTAGACACTGTGAGCCTAGATTTTTTTCAGGCTTTTGATTCTTTATTGGCCATTTTCT